GCTTTGTGGCTCACAGCTTGCTTAAGGGAGTCTGTGATGAAAACATCTTAATGTGCCCCTAGTAATGAACCATTGATGTAGTCGTGCCAGAATGCATCAAAATAGGTGAACTCAGAGAACTTGATGTCACACATGATGGAGCCCAGGTCTCAGGACTTGAATATGTTGTTGGCCTGGTTAAAGTGATCAAACTGGTGCTCAAGTGGGTCCTGCTTGTTAGAGAAGATATTGCCCTGCAGTGCAGTCTCGCTCTGGCAGCCTTTAGCCTGAACCCTGCAATCTAATGTCGCTTGTCTGCTTTTCCTTGGGATCTGGCTCTCAAGTGTGGTACTCCCTTGGACTGGCCACTTGCTGCTCATCTGAGGACCTGAAGTGGAACAGCACACCACAAAATAGTAGGGAGGCACTGTTTTAGGAGACTGGGGGGGGCCTCGGTTCTGGATCACTGAGAGCTCTGGGGGTCAAATAGCGAATTAATGTCTTCTCCAGATATTTGTTTATAAGATCAGGACACACAGCCTGTCTCTGCTGGAGGGTGACTTAGGGCAGTAGGTCATGGTGAGTGATGATGCACAGTAGCTGCAGCACCTGGTGAAAGTTACTCTCATCACAGTGGCCCTGACGCTCCAACACCAGTAAGAAGTTACATCCCTGAGTCCATGCTCATGGTCATCAATGGCATCAACAAAGCGGAAGGAAAGCACACGCACTCTGTATGTCACATGAGTGCCCACAATGTCAAACATGTGGTGCAGGCTATATAACCCGTGCTCCTGTTCGCCATGCTCTTCTTGGTCACACCTGGATTTTCTGCTCCTTGAGTTCCACCATGTTGGGGGCTCAAATGCACAATGCTTTCTAGCATCTCTGCTCAGCAGCTATAATCCTTACTGTACTATGCAAGAAACTTAATTTCCCAGATCTCTTCTCTAGGCTCAGGCTCGACACTGTCATGTTGGATCCATCTGGCCTGGGCTCCAGTTGCCACCACCATTCCCCTCTACCCACCCTCACCCTCTCCACCATGGGTGTGGGGGAGGAGAGACAGCTATTATTATTTCTAACAGTTTTGTTTTTTAGCCTTCATACTAAATAAAGATAAACATTATTTACACATCACTATTATAGTACTGGAGTATTCTGAATTTGACTATGTACTTCCTTTAATCAGCAAATTGTATATACTTTTTTTTTTTTTGAGTTGGAGTCTCACTCTGTCGCCCAGACTGGAGTACAGTGGCTGCTCCCGGCCACTGCAGCCTCGACCTGCTGGCTCTGGCGATCCTTCCTCCTCAGCCTTCCAAATAGCCAGAATTACAGGCATGCGCTTACCACACCTGGCTGATTTTTTTGATTTATTGTAGAGATGAGGTCTCGCCAAGTTGCCCAGGCGGGTCTCAAACCTGCAGGCTCAGGCAATCCTCTCCTCAACTTCCCAAGGTGCAGGATAACAGGCTGAGCCACCGAGCCTGGCTAGATGATGAATTTTCACAGCTTTTGTTTATCTGGGAAAGTTTTTATTTCTTCTTCATTTCGAAGGTCAGAATTGCTGGGTTTAGCATTTGGTTGGCAGTTTTTCTGTTTCAGGACTTTAAATATATTATCTCGCCCTCTCCTTGCCTGTGAGGTTTCTGCTGAGATATCTGCTGATAGACATTTCTTTGTATGTGACAAGATGTTTTACTTTTCTTGCTTTCAAAATTCTCTTTGTCATATGACTTTTGAGTTAGATTATAATGTATCTCAGTGAAGATTGCTTCATATTTAATCTATTTTGTGTTATTTAGGCTTCATGGATCTGGATATTTTTGTTCCTCTCCAGATTTGGGACGTTTACTGTCAATATTTCTTTAAATAAGCTTTCTGCAACTTTTTATTTCTCTATTTCTTCTGGAACCATAATTCACCAGGTTTCTTGCCCTGGACACAGGCTCCAGGCCCATCTAATGCCAGGCCAACCCCAGTGGCCACAGGTTCCAGACCAGCTCCCATGAACTCAGTCTCTAGACTCACCCCCAGGCTTTAGTCAGGTCAAGTACCAGGTTGGACTCTGTATCTCCAGACTCCAAGTTTTCTCTTGTAAACCAAACATCCAACTGTACCACTATGCCAGGTTAGCACTCATAAATCCAGCTCCAGGCTAGCACTTGTGGGCTCAGTCTTAAGGCTAAGCCCTGTGAACATATGCTTCAGATTGGCCCCCGTAGCCTCTAGGTCCACCACAGTGCAAAGCCAGACTTGATGGCTCCAAAACTGAGGATAGTTCTCATGAAGCCCAACTCCAAAATAGTCCTTACAGCCTCCAAATCCTGTGGACCCAGGGTTTAGGTTTGCTCCAGCAGATCTAGGGTCCAGGCTCACTTCAGTAGACCCTAGTGCCAAGCTGGCCCTTATTGATATAGGCACCAGGACCACTCCAGAAAACCCAAGCTTCAGGACTGCCCTAGTGGACCAAGGTATCCAGTCTTCCTAAGGACTCAGCATCAAGCTTTCCTGAAGACTATGCTGGATAACCTGCCCAGAATCTCTGGAAAAGCTGACTGATGAAGAGCTTTCTCTGTTGAAGTCAGTCTTTAAAGACTGGAATAAGTGCTTACTTCTTAAAATAAGCTGATATGCATGGCCACAAGGAAAACAAATAAACAGAGAAGCATGATACCAGCAAAGAAACAAATAAAGCACCAGTATTGACCTTAAATAAATGGAAACTTACAAACTGTCTGACAAAGAATTTAAAATAATCATCTTAGAGAAGCTCAGAGAGCTACAAGAATATACAGACTAAATGAAATCATGAAAACAATACATGAACAAACTTAGAAGTTCAACAGACAGAGGTTATAAAAAAAAAAAAGAACCAAGCAAATTCTGGAGCTAAAAAATGCAATGACTAAACTGGAAAGTTACATAGAGTCCTTCAATAGCAGACTCAATCAAACAGAAGAAAGGACCAGTGAGCTTGAAGACGATCATTTGAAATTATCAACCAGAAAAGCAAAAAAGATAAAGAAGAAAAAAATAGTGAAGAAAATCAATGAGAATGATGGACACCATCAAGTGGGACCACAGGGGTTTGCCCAGTACTGGGTGATCCTGGAGCCTACATCCATGTGGACCAGCCTGGTGCTGAAATATGGTTGGGGTCTAAAGTGGGAGGTATATTTAATAAGTAATTTCAAAAATATAGTTGTTTTTGTTTTGTTTTGTTTTAAAAGAAGAGCCATGAGAGCATATAGCAAAAACATTTGTTGGTCTGTGAGATCAGGAGAGGTGTCTAACGAAGTGACATTTAAGCTAAGACTTGGACTAAGAGTAGGCATTAACTAGACCAAGATGTATGTTTCACATGTTTGTGTGTTTGTGTGTGTGTAATGGGAGGATTGGGGGAGGAGAGTAGAGAACATTCCAGAAAGTAAAAGCAGCATAAAAAGAACCTCTGGTGAGAAGAAGCATGGGCTATGGAAAAAAAGAAATGTGGCTAGATGGTTGGAGCATAGTCAGAGAAATTGATTCGAAATAAATCTAGTTTGAACTTTATCTTAAAGTTAGTGGGAAGACACTGGAAGGTTCTAAGTAGGAAAGTGACAATGGTTAGGTTGCTCTTTCCTGTTATGCTGAGTATTTTTCCCAACAGGCCCTATTTTAAAGATAATTATACACATGTTAGTATTTTCATTGGACAGTAACAAATCTAGGTTTCCCATGTAGAACAGCCACTCCCATGCAAAACATGAATACATGCTACTGAATCCAAACTGTGCCACTTCCTGAAGAGACGTATCCCCTTCCCAGACAAGTTACACCTATTTCAGAAGATCTCTGAAAAGAGAGCTGAACTATTGATATAACGACACTCCCATTGACACCTGACAATAAGCAAGTTGGCAAAGAATGTTTTAGTTAAAAGTTTTAAAATTTTTAACTAGGTTGTTTAGTGCTTTTTTAAATATAAAAATGCATGTGTTTTTTTTTAAGTAAAAAGTTCAAACAGCACAAAAGATTATACAAGGAGCAGTAACCCCACTCCCCATCCAGACTCCCATTTCTCATTTCACTTTTGGAAGGAAAACTTTCTATGGTATTTTTGCCTACATTCCCAGTAATTTTCTTTGCATGTAAACGCATTTTTAAACAGCCTATAGGGCATAAAGTTTAGGAGAACAATTTAAGTTGGGCAACTCAAAACTCAAGTCTGATCTTTCTTTTTTTTTTTTTTTGAGTTGGAGTCTTACTCTGTCGCCCAGACTGGAGTGCAGTGGCCGCTCCCGGCCACCGCAGCCTCAACCTGCTGGGCTCCAGCGATCCTTCCGCCTCAGCCTTCCGAGTAGTCAAAATTACAGGCATGCGCTACCACGCCCAGTTGATTTTTTTATTTATTGTAGAGATGAGGTCTTGCTGCCCAGGCGGGTCTCGACCCCGTGGGCTCAGGCAATCCGCTCACCTCACCTCAGCCTCCCAAAGGTGCGGGATTACAGGCTGAGCCACCGAACCCCACTGATCTTTCTTATTAACTGTATTAACTTGTGTAAGACACTTAAACGAGTACTTGGCCCATAAGCCTTCAGTAAGTGCTAGCTTTATTTTTATTTGTTTTACAAAAATGGAAATGCGTATCTGTTCTGCAACTTGTTTTTTAATGATCCATATATTAATTTTTAAAAGTTTGCTATGTTCTAAGCCCTTCATATGCATTATTTCACTGAATCTTCATAACAACGTTGGGCTAGGTATGGTGAATATCCCTATTTTACAGACTAGGCATCACACTAAGCACAGAGTTATTGTGTAACATTTCCAAAGTCATAGAACTCCTGTTTGAACTCTGTCAGTCTGACTCCAGAATCTTCACTCTTTATTCCTTTTGTTTGTTTCTATTCCAGTCTGTTCTCTCTCTCTCTCTCTCTCTCTCTCTCTCTCTCTCTCTTTTAAACTATTATTCTCTTGTTTTTCTTTTAACGCTTTATTAATCTATTTTCTAACATTTTATTATTCTCTTTTAGACCAAAGCTGATAAAAATTTCAGAACTGAGCATTATGAAGAACAAATTGAAGCATTTAAAAGTATCATCCAAGAGACAATATCAACTTTTAATGCAAATTTAGCTCTAAAATTTACACCCACTGAAGTAAAAAAAGCTACATCTACAGAAACCTCTGAGCAAAAAGACTCCCCCAAATCTGAACATGCCATAAATTTTACACCCCCTGAAGTAAATAAAGATACACCTGAAGAAACTTCTGGGGATAAAGATTCCTCCAAATCTATACACGCCCGGGGTAATTTCCAATTTTCATATAACAAAAATGAAACGTATCAAAAATTCTTGTCATATTCTTCAAAGAAGGTAAGACCAAATGTCTAACATATAATATAATATGTAAAAGGGTATGTTTCAAAGTAACCAGTTCCTTTTTTAAGTATTTAGAGCAGATACAGAACACAAGAGCAAAAGGCAACATGCATGAATTCCTCAAATATGTAGTTAGGACATCAGGAAGAACACCAACTGAAGAAAAATCTAATGAGATTTTTTTTTTTTCTTTTTGCAGTAGTACGTAAATCAGATGTTTAGTGGTAGTGAGCAGAAATGTGTATTAAGAATTCAAGCATAGCCCGGCACGGTAGTGCACGCCTGTGTCTCCGGCTACTTGGAAGACTGAGGCGGAAGGATCACTGGAGCCTGGGGGGTCGGCGCTGGGGTGGCCATGAGTGTGCCACTACTCTCCAGCCTGGGCGATGAAGTGAGACTCCAAATGGAAAAAAAAAAAAAAAAAGGAATTCAAGCATATTTTTTGGTTGAGATTGTAGTAACACCCCATTCATTTTATATGATAATATAATATCATCATTTTCATTGTCATATATTTTATATGATCTATAACAATGAAGAATCCTACTAAGGAATTCTGATAATTCATTGCAACGCCTTAAAATTTTTACTATTTACTTACTACAAAGTGTGTCTCTAAAGTAATGATGCCATGAAATAATACACATTGCACATAAAATTGGTCTGGTTACTTTGTAATCGTACCTTTAATTTGTCTTTGAAAAATGTGTTTGTTTTTATATTTAAGCCAGATTTAGAAGTTTGTTCTACCACCCTTATAATAATTATAAAATCTACTTTCTGTAATCAGTATTATGCTTTAAAATGCTCATTTTTCCTTTTCTTTTTCTGTCTTTCTTTTTTCCTTTTTCTTGAGTTGGAGTCTCACTCTGTCACCCAGATTGGAGTGCAGTGGCATGCTCATGGCCACCCCAGTGTCGACCTGCTGGGATCCGATGATCCTTCTGCCGCAGTCTTCCAAGTAGTTGGAACTACAGGTGTGAGCTACCACGCCTAGCTAATTTTTTTTTATTTATTGTAGAGACGAGATCTTGCCAAGTTGCCTGGGCAATCTACTCGCCTCAGCCTCCCAAAATGCTGGGATTGCAGGCTGAGCCACCGAGTCCGGCCCATTCGTCCTTTCCTAATACCACTGTTGCCTATTTAGACAACCTTCTCCCACACTGAAAATAATAATAACAATTCACTCTTAGTATTTCCATTATGCCTCCTCATCTAATTGTTTTGTATGGATCTATATGTCTATATGCATACCCACCCAAGGTGGAAAATGCTTTAAATCCTTCAACAAATATTTAATTGTGGGCTTACTATGTGATCAGGTTTAGGATACTTTTGTGAACCAAGCTGACAAAAATTCTTGTCTTCATGAAGTTGAAAGTTCAGCAGAAAGAGACAGACAAAAATCATAAATATAGCAGCAAAAAAAAAAAAAAGAGAGAGAGAGAAGCTGAATAGTATTTAGGACGTGTAAAGTATACGCTATAAAGTAGAAGTGACTGGCAGGTGGCAAGATTACAAGGAAACTTGGAATAGGCTTCATTGAGGAGATGAGATCTGAGCAACAATGTGAAACCAAACAAATCTGAGATGATCACTCTGATGGAAGGCATTGTTAGAAACACATCTCTCATTTAGGAAAAACCCTATGTGGTAAGTAGGTCAAATTGAACCAGAAGGGTAAAAAACTAGAGAGATTATCTTGACTCAGACCATAAAGGGCCTCAAAACCTGCTGTAATAGTATTCCTTTCTTTGTGAGTAACATCAGATCACTGGAGGGTTTTGAATAGATGATTTGCATACCCTATTATATTTTAAATGATCACTCTGGACACTCTGTAAAAAAGAGATGATAGGTGCTAAGAACAAGAGCAAGGAGTCTTGTTAAAAGCTGTTGAAGGAATCTAGATGAGGGAGAATAGTAGTTCAGACAGAACAGTTACAGAGTCAAACATGACTCCAAGGTTTTTTGGCTTGAGCAGCTAAAAGAATGGAATTACTGATGGAGGGAACTTTAGGTAGAGAAGGTTTGGAGAAGAAGACCAGTGGTTAATTTTTAGTTAGATCTAGTCTGAGATGTTTATCAGATATTCAGTTGCAGGTGCTGAGTAGGAAGTTGATGGTATGAAGTTGCAGTTTAGGAAAAAGAGTTAGGCTTGAGCTATAAATTTGAGAATTGTTGACTTAATGTCATGGGCTTCATGAAATCTCCAGCATCATCAGTGTAGACAGAAAACAGAACAAAATCAAAGACCAAACTTGGGGAACTTCAATAGAAAACCATAAAAAAAAGCATCCAAGAACTTTGTCACTCAGAGTGTGGTCTATGGAACAGAAATATTAAAATCACCGGGAAACGAGAACCTCAGACTCCACCTCAGACCTATTGAATCAGAATGGCATTTTAGCCAGATTTTCTAGGCGATTTGTTCACATTTTATAGTTTAAGAAGCACTGCCCTGAAAGACAAGAAAAAAACTCTATCAAAGAGAAAAGAGTGATGAACTGTGTCAAATGTGCCAATATGTCGAAAAAGATGAAGATTTAGAAGTGATCATTGGCTTTAGGATTATGAAGGGCACTGGTGACCTTGACAAAAGAAGTTTTGTTGTAGTAGTGAGGGAAGCAGCACAACTGAATTAGATTTCAGAGAAACTGGGAAGAAACAAATTGGAAATACGCAGTATAGAAAACTCTTTCAAGAAATTTTGCTTCTAACAAGGGCAAAGAAATGGGTAGAAGCTAGTCAGGCAAGTGAGGCCAAGAAAGCAAGAAAGTTTTTGTTTGTTTTAAAGCAGAAGAAACAATAGCATATTTAAATAAGAATGATCTAAGCTCTACCTCTGGGATAAATTGACTTAGGGAACACCACATGTTTCTTTTTTTTTTTTAATCAATATTTTTTATTATGGTTTTGTGGGGTACAGTTAAGGGTTAGGTGTACAATTATGTTTCATTCA